ATTGCGTCAACACCCGCGAGGGCCATCGCGATAAGATACAGATTGCTCCATCGTTTCGTCATGATCGTACCGACGTTTGTCGATCTGCTAGGATTCACCGTCGGGATGAAATTTGTCGTGAAAGAGGTGGCGGTTCTGAGAAACGGGACCGTTTTGGCGCATTACATTTTTACATGTCCTATGCTATGGAGTCTCCTCATGAAATCCGACAGATTATGCGCTTTCTGGTTGATTGCGAATCACCATGGACTACGATGGGAGGACGGAAACGTGCCCTACAGCATGGCGAAACATCTAATTACATCGGCTGTACTTGGAGAGGGTGACGAGACGTCGACTCTTGTGTACGTCAAGGGATGTCAGAAACGAGAATGGCTGGTGGATCTGCTTGAGAATAAATCGAATAAAACATATAAAAATTGAGACTTTGGATGCAGATTACGAAGATATCGAATCTTTAAATAATCTAGATGTTACTAATACTGTAAGATGCAAAAAACATGTTAAGAATTGCGCATTACAAAATGTATTAAAAATATTTAACTGGTGGTCGCGACACCAGAAAAATTATGATTTTTTGAAATAAACTATATATGTATACTACCTTGATCAAAAAGTTCCCGGAATTTATTTAGAAAATGCAAAATACAACATTAACGCACCGTCGCACAATTCCATCATTATCCGCAACTTTTTGACCAAGAACGGAACGAATACCATCCAACAGCCATCGAATTCACCTGATTTGGCTCCCTGTGACTTCTTTCTGTTCAATCGAATCAAAAAACCACTACGGGGAACGCGTTTTAGCAGCCGAGAGGAGATAATGAAAAAATCGAAGACGGCTCTGATGGCCATACCGAACACCGAGTATAAAAAATGTTTCGAGGATTGGATCAAGCGCTGGCATAAGTGCGTTGCAGTCGATGGGGAGTACTTTGAAGGGGACAATATTAATATTGATGAATAAACTTGTATTTTGCATTTTCTAAATAAATTCTGGGAACTTTTTGATCAAGGTAGTACATATAAATGTTTTATTTCCTTTTTCCACATACTTTGTAGTATAATATAGATGTTTTAGCTGTTCAAGAGCTGTTTTTAGCTGTTTTTTAGTTGTTTTTAGTTGTTTGATAGCTGTTTAAAAGCTGTTTTTAGTTGTTTAAAAGAAGTTTGATAGCGGTTCAATAGCAGTTATACAGATCGCAGTTATACAGATAGCTGTATTAGTTGTTTGATAGCTGTTCAAGAGCTGTTTGATAGCAGTTTTTAGCTGTTTTTAGCTGTTTCATAGCGATTCAATAGCTGTTTGATAGCTGTTTGATAGCTATTTTTAGCTGTTTTTAGTTGTTTCATAGCGGTTCAATAGCTGTTTGATAGCTGTTTTTAACTGTTTCATAGCGGTTCAATAGCTGTTTGACAGCTGTTTCATAGCGGTTCAATAGCTGTTTGATAGCTGTTTGATAGCTGTTTTTAGCTGTTTCATGGCGGTTCAATAGCTGTTTGATAGCTGTTTCATAGCAGTTCAATAGTTGTCTTTTTTTCTCGCGAGGATTATTTTCGCGTAACATAATACGCCGCAGATAAATCGCGCGCATCCTCGCTTCTCATTTTATTCAATAGCGGTTCAGAGTATCCACTCGCGATTGCAAGATGCAACGGTAAGTAGAGGATTATTTTTCATGATAGCTAGTTTTTGATAATATAATATGTCACAGATAAATCACGTGCAACCCTCTCTCTTCATTTTTAGATGCTCTATAAATTGAGCTCTGCTTCGAGTCAGAGCACAGTCTCTCTTTGCAAACATACGGTTTATTACATACATTTTGTTACATAACTGCTATATAATGGCTAATATTGAAGATGTGATTCGAATATCTTATCCGGCGGCTGGGGTGTGTATATAACAATTCGCGATTAAAGTGTAAATTTGTAAATATTAACTGGTATATAACTTTTACAGATAGTATGGGTTGATAACATACTCATCGTTGAGGTGCGCGTTACAGACGCGGGCGTGGTGGAAATTCGAATTTTTCGCGGCCGGGTATGTATACTTCATATCTTTATATTTTTAACATTTTTTTAAATTTTATGTAATCTGATTTCAGCGACTAATATATCGTGATGAGATGAAAATCGGTGGCTTCTTGAATTTGAAGCATCAAAGGTGGACTCGCTATTTCAGATCGATTGATCGTGAAGCCAACGATCTAATATGGGAGCAGAGCGGCGTGGAAGACATATTCAACTTACAAATTTTGTTCGGAATGCGTATCTACGAGCCGGAAATTTGGTATTAAATTATTTTAAAAATACTTTGAATACATTATTTGAAGAAATGTATAACTTCAAAAATTTAAAATATAAAATATAAAATAATTTTTAAAATCTGTATCTGTTTTCCGTTATTTCGCCGATTTCATTCATTTTAAATAAGCTAGTAATAGTGATGCTTAAATAGGGCAAATAATTTTATAAAAATAGTAAAAAATGATTATACATATATGATTCATTTAAAACATTATAATTTAAATATAATGTATAAAGCTCACAAAATTAAAATCAAATAAATAAATAAAGGGCAACGAGCCGTAACAGGATGACAGTGTTAATATATTCAGTGTAATAATACAAAAATAGTTACAAACGTATTAGAACAGAAACGTTTGTAACTATTTTTGTATTATTACACTGAATATATTAACACTGTCATTCTGTTACGGCTCGTTGCCCTTTATTTATTTATTTGATTATAATTTAAATAAGTTTAAAAAAGCTTAAGATATAATATTATTTATACATTAAATAAGTTTAAATATAATGGAGAATGAACGAGATCACCCGAGTTGGAGCGAGCGAGAACGCGCGAAAGAAAGAAACCGCGAACGGGGCCACGAGCGAGAACGCGAACGGGGGCCGGGAGCGAGAGGGACCGCGCGCGAGAGAAAGAGACCGCGAATAGGGCCACGAGCGAGAGGGACCGCGCGCAAACGAGAGAGAAAGACCGCGCGAACGAGAAGACTCGCGCGAACGGGGAGACGGGGGCGCGAGACACCGCGCGAACGAGTAGACGCGCGGGACCGGGGGACGGGGGAAACATCTACGAGGGGGAGATAACGCGAGCGTGCCGTGTGATGTTGTAGGTATTTGGTACCACAGGAGGTCGATTATGCCTCCGGGTGTCGGCCTACTACCGACGTCTTGACGAGAGGTATCGAGGAATAATTACACACTCGATTACTGAAGATAAAATAATACTTTATTACAGACCACGCAACAGCCACGAGAGTCAGTCTAATTCTAACGGTCGTCGAGACTCAGTTCTGCCAACCTCGTAACTCTCAACCCTTTTGCTAGCGCAGGAGAGGGGGCTGACCAATCGGAAGGGAGACAGATATGCTGCTCCCTACAATGTCACGCGGACTCCGCGACGCGGCGAAACGCGAACGCGGGTCCCCTCGCCCCGCAGCGCCCGAAAACGCGAATGTTTCGCGGCGCGGCAAAAACGCGGTCGCCCCGCGGCGCCGTAAAACGCGGTTTTTCCCTCCCCCTCCCTCGCGGTTCCCCTCTCCCTCTCCCCGCGACGCCCAAAAAACGCGGTTTCCCCCTCCCTCTCCTCGCGGTTCCCCCCGCTCGCGGTCCCCCCCGCCCCTCACCCCCTTCAGATCCCATAGGTTGGGGTAGAACCGGCCTAGCTTACCCTAAGAGCACAGTTGACGGAAAGTCGACGGTAAGTCGACTTTTATAAGTCGACTTCTAGTCGGCTTCTAAAAATGGCAGAAAGTCGACTAAAAGTCGACTTCTAAATAGGCGACTTCTAAAAATGGCGGAAAGTCGACTAAAAGTCGACTTCTAAATAGTCGACTTATAAAAGTCAACGGAAAGTTGACTTTTATAAGTCGACTTCTAGTCGACTTCTAAAAATGGCGAAAAGTCGACTAAAAGTCGACTTCTAAATAGTCGACTTATAAAAGTCAACGGAAAGTTGACTTTTATAAGTCGACTTCTAAAAATGGCGGAATGTCGACTAAAAATCGACTTCTAAATAGTCGACTTATAAAAATCAATTTTCCGTCGACTTTTATAAGTCGACTTCTAGTCGACTTCTAGTCGACTTCTAAAAATGGCGGAAAGTCGACTAAAAGTCGACTTCTAAATAATCGACTATAAAAAGACGGAAAGCAGTCAAGCGGCGCGTCATCAATATGGCGGCGAATCTCGAGGAGGCTGGAGGAAAAAATTAATGTTTACGCGAGTGCAAGGAATACATGCCGCGAGACAGGACACGATAAGACGTCGAAAAGCGCCGCGCTATCAACCACCGCCACGAAACGTCGTCGTCGTCGTCATCATTGTCTTCCCGTTGACTTCCTCGATTAGATCAGAATACTGGAATTTGACTGTATGTATGTTGTAATATGTTTGAGACGGTTGTCTACATTGTCTACAACAAGAATTGTTACAGAATGCCGTTACCAACCGACATGGAAGCGAAATTGCTGCGCCAGATAGTTCTTGCAGGTATGGCGGATCTAAAAGAGGATCAGGATAAGACCAAGTGGAAATATGCTTTAGAGGTTAGGTATGGTGTGTTATTAATTATCATCGATAATTAAGACCTATTGAATGCGACCTCTCTATTCTGAACCATCTTTCAGAACACCATCAAAAATGGAGGAACCTGTGTTCATGCATTCTTCGTGCGTTCTACGGAAAATCAGTCCGGAATAGGTGGTTTATAAAGAGGTGTACGAAACGAATAAGATGTATATGCGAAGGTGCCACGGCGATAGAACCCGAATGATTGCCGAAATTCGCTTCCACGCTATGCCATCTTAGTAAATCATTGGTTGATCCACCGCCAAGGTATTTTTATCACAATTGTTGCTTTATAATGTTTTTCCTATTTATTTATAAAGATATTAATCTTCATTATGATTGAATATTATTCTCATTTATGGATATAATCAAGGAACCGGGAAGATCATTTGCCGCGTGTCCGGTACATTTGAAAAGGCCGGATGGGGACTACCATCGATGGATATAGAGCATCTGTGGACGGTGTAAAGTGGTTCGCGTATTTCTTCTTGGAGGGTCAAGTGTACCCTAAGCTGAAACGATTTGTTCCGTCGTTGCTGACGACACCTGGGAGCATCACCAAGTCATGGGCCAGGTAAATTGTTATTCTATCTCCTTTCGATTTCACGTTGATTCATCGAATAGATTACATCAATTCAATACGATTTTTTCAGGTTGATACCACGCACTCAAGCAATAGTACAAACGTTGCAGTCGCAAGGAGTCGTGTCCAAATATAAACTGCTAGAAATCTGGGGTTTGGATGAAAAATGTGAGATTTTAATTTATAAAATAATATTTAGATATTATCATCGAGTAGACTTCTATACAATACTAGACCGCTGACAGGCATCTCGACCGTGATGCTTGCCGCCATGTTGATTTTAGTCAAGATATGCTATACTACAGATTCTATACAAGTAGTTTTATACAAGATTTCTATACAATAGTCTGGCATATACAGAATGTCTAAAAGAAAGGGTTTAATACTACAGGAGTAGTGGTTCAATTTCGGAATTCAAGTAGCTACACGTTGAAGGCATGACTTACAAACTTATTGATAACATGTACCAATATTTAACACAAAAACATTCGCCTGCTTCGTTATGTACTGTAATAACAAATGCAGATAAACGCACATCATGAGCAACTGAACACCCGATAGTGACTTATTGTTAATTCAATATGGCCGCACCCTTCACTAACACTTGCACCTCGCACTCGCATCAGCTTTTCGGCAGTGCGTCCATAGATGTTAATGGTCTAGTTACTAGACTCTAGTATAAAAGTCTGTGGATATTATATGTATATTTATAATTTTAGTTCTGTTGTCAGCTTACAAGAAGTGGCTGCCGGAATCCGCGCACGCAGAAATGGCACAGATATGACGGCACACAGTGGCTGCCTTTGTAATTAAGAATAAAACATTAAGATTGTAATTATACAGTTCTTTAGATAATTAAATTATTTTATATATGAAAAAAAATCGAAATGCATCAGTTTTAGCCTTCCAGCAAAGGGTCGATTGTGTATCTTGAAATAATGAGGTAAAAATTACAAAAGTGAGAAAATTCATTAGCGTATCTACGATTTTATTTATCAGAATCTAATAAAATCTGTTAACTTTTGTCATTTTCACCTCATTTCAAGATACACAACCGACCTCCAAACGTACGCGGCGGCGGTTTATTTTATCGACTTTAAAAGTTGGCGGGAAGTCGACTTTTCGTCATGACGGGAAGTCGACTTGAAGTCGACTTCTACCGAAACTGACTTGGCAGAGAAGTCGACTTTTTTAAGGACGAAAGTCGACTTAAAGTCGACTTTTTGCTCTTAGGGAATCTATATATGAAATTGTTTGTATTTCGTATAAAGACTTTTGAAGTGCAATTGAAAAGGTTTGTGAGTCATTCAGATAATTGTAATTAATTAATCTTTTTTTTCACCATGCATTTAGCCGGAATAGATAAATTAAACAAAGTTTTTGTATCGAATCGTTTGTATTTCGTATGAAGAGTTATGAAGTGTGATTAAAAAGGTTTGTGAGTCATCCAGATAATTTTAATTAATTATTTATAAACCATGTATGTACCTAGCCGAAATATAGATTTTTAGTTATTCATGTTAAAAGAAGAAGGCGCTATAGTGTTCCCGAAGGACCGTCTGCAGTCAGAATTAATAAACGTTTAACAAATTATTTTATACTGAAACAAATTGTTAAGAATATTTAAGTTCAGCGCGTTTCTGTTGTCGAGTGTACAGACACATAATTCCTTATGTTCTATGTGACTGTACAGTAAAACGAGTCTAGCGCGACTCGGGTAACTTCGGCAGCTTTCGTGCCCCGAAGCGACTTCGAGTGGCAACCATGCGAGGCGGCTCTTCGCCTCTCTAGTCTCGTCTCAAGTCTCATGTCGAGAGGAGAGCACGCGCCATATAGTTTATACTAATAAAGAGAACACGTTTATATAATAAACTCTGAACGACTCAATTCTCCTCAGCCCGTTCACACAATTCCTGCATCAACAGGTTATGGGCCCAGTTAACGTTAACTGTGGAAAAATTGTGTGCGCTGTGAGAATTCGGGGAGTCGCACGTGGCGCGGAACGAAAGTCGGCCATTGTTCGAGTGCCGGTGAGCCGGTGTTAACGTGTCGGAAGCGTGCAAGCAAATCGAAGCCGCGATGTCGGTCGGAATTTCGGTGAAGGGTGTGAAGCCTTTCGACGGAACGAACTTCCAGGGCTGGAAAGCTCAAGTGAACGCGTTATTCGTAATGAACGACGTCCTCGACATCGTAGACGGCACGAGGGAACCGCCACTCGTGGGAGCGGGACACGTCAACGCGGCCGCGTTGAAGAAAAACGTGAAGGATGATGCAACGGCGAAATTCATTATCCTGTCCAATCTCGACGAAGCTCAACAAGTGTGTGTGCTATCGTGCATTTCTGCGAAAGAAATGTGGGACAAACTGTGTCTAATCCACGAGCAGAAGACGGTGACAAATAAGTTGGGCCTGCTGCAAAAGTTTCACGCGTATCGAATGAGCGAAGCGGACACGGCGGTACAACACGTGGCGAGGGTAACGAACATGGCGAGCCAGCTCAAGGACGTCGGTGAAGACGTATCAGACGCCACAGTCATGGCGAAGATTCTCGCGAGTCTGACCACGAAGTTTAGCACGTTGCAGGTGGCGTGGGATAGCGTCGACCCTGCACGACAAACTCTCGATAATCTGCAGGAAAGGCTGATTAGAGAGGACGCGAGGCTCAACAACGACGAAGACGCTTCGGAAGCGTTGGCCGCGACGGCCAAAAATCGACGTCACTCTGCGAGGAGCGAAGAGTGCCGAGATCAAAAAGACTAAAAATACAAAAGAGCTACAGTGCTACAAGTGCCAAGAGATGGGACATGTCGCGAGTCGGTGCCGAAATAAGCGGAAGCCGCGTGACGACAGCGAAAAATCCCGCGCACTTGATGACGAGAAATCCCGCGACTGCGCATTCGTAGTGGAGACGGTTAAAAGTTCGTTAGCGTCGGATTCGAAAAGTCGTGTGCTATGGACGCAAAGTCATGTTATGGCGGCCGACCAAAATGAGGTCTGGCTGATTGACAGTGGTGCGTCGAGGCATCTAACTTACCGACGTGAGTGGTTTGTCGACTATAAGACGGACAAAACCGGTGCTACAATATCACTCGGTGATAATCAGATCTGCAACGTCGCTGGTGAAGGCACGGTGCAAATTAAAAAGCTTGTCGACGGTGTGTGGCACGACGCGCGAATCGAAAATGTGTTGCACGTCCCTAAATTACGCAAGAACTTATTCTCCGTCGGAGTGTGTACGAAAAAGGGATTCGGAGTGCAATTTAAAAACAATCGGGTCGAAGTGGTGCTCGATGGCAAGGTGCTCGCGACGGGCATGAAGCAAGCTAACGATGTGTATCGCATGTTCTTCAAGGTCGCAAAACAAGGAAGCGCCGAAGAAGCGAACATAGCCACGACGAATTTAACCGTGTGGCACGAGCAAATGGGACACGTCGGGAAGCGCGCGATACGCGAACTGGCCGAAAAAGGACTGGTGAGCGGAGTGACAATTACGGACAAAAGTGACGTCTTTTGTGAACTGTGTCAATTGGGGAAATTGCACAGGCTGCCGTTCAACAAGAAATTGGAGCGAGATATTAAAATAAAACCGGGCGAGAAAATGCACTCGGATGTCTGGGGGCCGATGTCAACGAACTCGGTCGGAGGATCGAGGTACTTCTTAACCTTCAAGGACGAAGCGACCGGCTACAGACACGTGTACTTCATGAAGAAGAAATCCGAGGTGTACGAAAAATTCAAGATCTTCGAGAAGATGATCGAGAACAAGTTCGGTCGAAAAATGAAAACGCTGCGCTCGGACAACGGTCGGGAATTCTGCAATAGAGAAATGGACAATTATCTCGAAAAGTGTGGAATCAAGCGAGAAACGACGGCACCATTTAATCCTGAGCAAAATGGCAAAACCGAACGAGACAATCGGACAATAATCGAAAGTGCGCGAACGATGATAATCGCGAAAAATCTACCGTTAAGCCTATGGGCAGAAGCAGTGAATTGTGCGGTATATGTCCTCAACCGAACCGTGTGGACGAGTGGTGCAGTAACGCCGTACGAAGCATGGGCTGGAAAAGCTCCAAATCTGAAGCATTTACGAATTTTTGGTTCGGATGCGTACGTGCACATTCCCAAACTATTCACGCGAAAATTCGATGCACGAGCGAGCAAGAAGATCTTCGTTGGATATACAGAAGAATCGACTAATTATCGGGTATACGACCCGGAAACGAAAAAAATAAGCATAGCTCGCAATGTCGTGTTCAACGAGAAAGTCGGAGCGCCGTCACAAAAAGCAGAAGAGAAGGAAGAAGAAAACGAAGTGACTCTTCCACGATCGAAAAACGAGAACAAGTACGAGAACGGGAACGTGATCGACGCTAAAGAAGACGACGGCGACAACGAAGAACGAGAAGAGAGGACAACGACGAGGCCCAAGAACGAGAGAACGAGCCAGCACGAGAAGACCCAAGGGCAGCACAAGAAGATCCCAGAGTTCTGCGAGATCGCTCGAAAATTCAAACTCCGAGCAGGTACCGGCACAACGCAAATGTTGCCGAGTACATCGTACCGATGACGTACGAAGAGGCTACGAATAGCACTGAAGCCACGCAGTGGGCGGGTGCTATTCAAAACGAGTTTAAGGCGCACGAGGAAAACAACACGTGGAAACTCGTGAAAAGGACGCCGGAAATGAGACTGATCGACTCGAAATGGGTGTTTCGAGTGAAGAAGGATGCAGACGGGAGACTTCGATTCAAGGCACGATTGTGTGCGAGGGGCTTCCTACAACGAGAGGGGATCGACTTCAAGGAAACGTTTTCTCCAGTGGTGAGATATGACTCACTCAGAATATTGCTGGCAATAATCGCTGAGAAGAATCTCGAGGTAATTCAGTTTGACGTACAAACTGCATTTCTATACGGACAGCTGGAAGAGACGATATATATGGAAATTCCGGAAGGACTCAAGGTAAAAGAAGATCCCAGGAACGTGGCATGTAAACTCGAGAGGTCTCTCTACGGGCTAAAACAGGCTCCAAGATGCTGGAACCTGAGATTCACGAAATTTCTAGACGAATACAACTTTAAAGAGTGCGAAGCAGATAAGTGTGTGTTCATCGGGAAATTCGGTAAATACATAGTGTTATTGGCGTTATTTGTTGACGACGGGTTGGTCGCGTCAAACAATGTAAAGTTACTTAAAATTATAATTCAACGCCTAAGCGAAGTGTTCAAAATAACGGTCGAAAATTCAGACATTTTCGTCGGACTGCAAATCGAACGCGATAGAGAGCGAAAAACGTTAACGATTCACCAGAGCGCGTACACGCGAAAAATTATTGAAAAGTTCGGTATGGCGAACGCGAAAACGGTGAGTGTGCCAGCGGATCCGAACGCGGCACTGTCCCCAACCGAGGAGGACGACGAAGGGTTGATTAACGTGCCTTATCGCGAGGCAGTCGGGTCGTTAGTATTCTTAGCGGCTGTATCGAGACCGGATATTGCGTTTGCGGTAAATTCAGTTAGCAAATATCTTGGCAAACACAATGCGACACATTGGCGAGCAGTAAAGCGAATATTTGCGTATCTTCAAGGCACGATAGATTACGGTATCAAGTATGTAAGCGGCGGTAGCGAAGCAGCATTAATAGGTTTTTCGGACGCTGAC